TGTACGCAGCAGCTGCACGTGCTGCCGCTGTGTTCTGCGATTGTGCCGCTGGTGGCGTGGTACACGCGCGTTCGCCTGCACTTCCAAGGTAAATTGGCGCGCGACAAGGTGCAGGGCGAGGGCGCCATGACCCACGCGCAAGCAGTAGCAGAGATGCAGGCCGCTGGCGTGGAGGATGCGCAGAGCCGCTTTGACGCGTTTATGGCGGCGTGGAACCGGATCGTTGCGCACCAGGCGCTGTTGTTTGAGGGCGAGACGATGACAGAGGACGGGTCTGTTGTGCAGGACGACGAGGCGCCCCACGGCCGGTTCGAGTGTGAGCCACTGCAGCCCTTCCCGCCCATGTCGCCTGCAGCGCCGCTGGCGTACTCGCTGCTCTCTGACCGGGGAGAGGGGTCCCGCCTCTACATCATGCTGCACCAGCTCACGCACGTGCAGAACCAGCACATGGACCGGGTGGTGAACCTGTGCGAGCCCGGTACTGCGGCGCACCGCGCTGTGCAGCAAGGGCCTGCTGGCCAGGTGCTGGTGCAGAGCGTGGACGTGACCAAGGCGAGGCCGCACCAGGTTGTCTCTGTGGTTGTGGACGACGGTGTGGTTGCGCACGCGTACGCGCACACGGCGCTGGGCCACGGACGGCGCACGATTGTCAACTGGCAGGCCGTGGAGAACATGGTGCTGCAGCACACGTTTGTCGGCAAGGTGAAGTTTGAGCGTGTTGACCCGGCCAAGTGCGGGTTCCTGTTTGGGCAGGAGCAAGGCGTGCCCTTCCTTGAGCTGTGCGACCGGCTGTTCACGGCGCACAAGCAGTACTGCCGCTCCATCACCCCCGAGCGGGTGCGGGCCATGATTGAGTCGTCCAACTTCCAGCCGTCCATCCACGACCTGCGCAGCAAGCTGGAGGTGCTCATGTCGCAGCTCAACGACCACCTGCTTGGCATGGGCGGCGACGCGTCTGGCGTGGGCAACTTGCTGTGCAGGACGACGCTGGCCGAGTTTGCGCTGATGGCGCGGCCGGTGGATGCCACGTCGCTGGCGCTGCTGCAGTCGTGCGGGTGCCACGACCTGGCAGTTGGGCAGCTCTTTGCGCTCTTTGAGCTGGTGTACGAGCAACTCATCTTCCAGGAGTCGCGTGGGCACACGCCGCTGGAGGACGAGGCCGATGGCGCCATTGTCCGCGACCTGGGGGAGGCGCAGCGGGCCGAGCGGTTTGTTCCTGCCGCGGTTATGCACACGCTACGGCGGTTCTACATCACCCACTACGCGCAGTACCAGCACATGGGTGACATGCCGCTTGCCGACTTCTGGGGCAGCCTGATTGAGGAGCCCGTGTTTGTCATGGACGACCTGGCGAACCCGCAGCAACAGCTGCAGCTGCCAGACTCGCTGCTCCTGCGTCACGTCGTGCCGCTCTACGTCTGGCTGCACCAACTGCCGCAGTGATGTGTGCGTGTGTGTGTGTGGGGTGGGGGGCTTGTGGGTTGAGTGTGTGGGTGGGTGTGGGTGGGTGATTTTTGGGAGTGGGTTGTGGAGGGGGGGGATGTTGGGAGAGGGAGCTGTATGATGTAGATGAGTGTTGCTTTCAGTTCTTTGACAATGCGTTGTCGTGTTACGTTATTCTCTTGCTTGCCTGTGTTACTGCCATTGGAGGGAGTTGTGTTGTTCAAGATACACACAAGGTCCTAAGGTCTGCATTCATGGCGCGCCCTTGAAGGTCTTCCTTCCTTCCTTCGACAATCGACGATTCACAACACCACAAAGTGCACAATGCTGACAAACCCACACATCGCTGCTGTCCTTCGGTGTGTCGAAGGCGGTGAAATTTTCGATTTCGCACGTTTGAGGTGGTTCCGTTGCACACGCACCACCAGCAATATGGCTTCGACTGCTGCGCCTTTGCTTTGCTTCGCTTCGCTTGCTTGCTTGTGTGTGTGTTATTTTTGGGTGTGCAAGCAGCAAGCAAGCAAGCAAGAAGCAAGCATCAGTGCAGCAAGCAACCGCACGCACGCACGACAAGCAACACCTTCTTCTCTTGTGTGGGTGATTTGTGACGTGCACACATCCTCTGCTTCTGCTTCTGCTTCTCCTTCATCTCCGCCACGTCAAACATTCGACGTTGCACGAGCAGCTAAGGCCAACCACACAGCCAGCCCAGCACAAGGTTTGTCTTTGATTGATGAACATGTGTGAGTGTGTGTGTGAGTGTGTGTGTAAACGTGTGTGCCAATGTGTGAACATGTGCGTGAGGCGTGTGTCATTTTCCCTTCAACCACAACCACAACCACAACTTGCTTGTGTCGTTGTCCGCATTCCACACCAGTGCGTTCGCGGTGGGTTGTCCCCCACGCGACAACAGCATCAACACTTGCACCATCATCACCATCAATCCGCCTGCATAACGCACGCATACCACTTCTGCCTGTTTCTCGTGTTTGGGTGTCCCACCAACCAACACCCCCAACACACCGTTTTTTTCGCCTTCTCCCCACTCCTGTGCCTTCCTTCTTTGCTTCTTCCATCCTCCCAACCATTTCAGCGACAGCACGCGCTCGCTGATCGTTGGTCGGCAATCACCGCACCAACAGCACCTCAGCACTCACGCTACTCCCTTCTTGTTGTTGTTGCTCGGCCCCCAATACTTTCTCTTCCTGGGTGGTGGTCAAATCAGATCGTTTTCATTTTTTGCGTCGTTCCCGTCGTTCCTGTCGTCGCTTTCGACTCCAGCAGGTACGTGTATGTGTGTGCATGTATGTCTGTGTGTCAGTTATCGCCAACACCACCACCACACCACGTTGCACGAGCACATTTGTTTGTTTGTGTGTTGTTCGCAGTCGATAGTCGTGTGTGTTCGCTCGTTCATTTGCCACAACGGGCACTGATACCGTGATATCAGGCCTCCTTGACCTCTCCCCCCCCCCTTTCCGTTTTGCTGCTTCCATTGCCCGACACACACTGTCACGCACGATCAACAAAAACAACTACTTCCACCACTTCTGACTGACACACCACCTCTTACACCGCCTTCGTCCCCTTCTCCTTCCAACAACAACAACACACGCATACGATGAGCAGCGCCTTTGAGTGCCGCAACGCCCGGCCCGTTGCCCCTTCACCGCCTTCATCGCCAAAGGCACGGAAGAAGAAGCAGACGACCAGCAAGGCCGTCTTCTCGCCTTCCCCCGTCCATTGGTCCACATCAACAACAACAACAGCGACAGCAGCCAGAGGCAGCAGCAACAGCTACAACAAGAAGAAGCAAGGTCACAACGGCAGCAGCGCCAACAGCAAGCCAGCACCAGCAGGTCTCATTGTTGTCAAGCGGAAGAAGAGGTCCACCAGCACCCAGCAACAAACCACCACCAGTGCCCCTTCGCCAGAGCAGGTTCACTCACCGCCCTCACCGCTGAGCAGGCCCATTCCCAAGCCATCTTCCACTTACACCACCTCAGCACAGCACCACCAGCAGTTCCAGCAGCAGTGTCACCTCACCACTGCCACTGCAAGCACCACAGCCGCCGCATCAACAGCGAGGGTTGTTTCCCCAACCGAAACGTCTGCGTTCGTGTCCCTGGAGACCATGCGAAACGCCGGTATTCGCCACCCAACACAGCACCACCACAACACCACTGCCACCGCCATGAGTCGCCGTGACAACGCCACAACCAAGCACCAGCAGCAGCACAGCCCAGGCAAGCCCCACCACGAGGATGACATGGACGACTGGGTAGAGGCCGAGCTGCGGCAGGTCACCGACCGCATGACATCCGATGTCGCCAACCCATCCAAGACGACGGCAACAGCGGCGTCCACAGCGGGCAAGGCCGACGTCTCCACCACCGGCAATGGCGACGACAGCGACGAGGAGTTTTCCGATGCCAGCGACGTGCTTCGTCTCGACGCCACCACCACCACCACCACCATGGCCGAGGCAACAACAACACCAACAGGCAAGACAACGACGACCGCCACAGCAACAACAACAGCCGCCGTGACGTCGCTCCTGCAAACGCCAACGTCAGGCACCACCAACGTGTGGGCTGCCCGCGCCAACAAGCGTGCTGCGGAACAGCAGCAGCAGCAGCAGCAGCAGCAGCAGAATGGGTCGCCACGCGGGTCTGGCGCCAACAGCCCATATGAGGATCCGAGCAACGAGCGGATCCAGCAGCTGTTGGAGCAGCGGCGGCATGGGGCGTCACCGGCCATGACGCAACGCGAACACCTGCTCACGTCGCCGTTTGCGCACTTGACCAAGGAGGAGCGCATGGAGCGCGTGGTGAAGCAGGTGCACTTCTACTTTGGTGACCGGAACTACCCGACGGACAAGTTTCTTCGCAAGCAGGCGAAGAAGTCTGCAAACGGGTGGGTGCCGCTCTCCGTCGTGTGCACGTACAAGAAGATGAAGAAGATCACAGACGACGTGCCGCTCATGGCGGAGGCCCTCAAGCACTCGGATGTGGTGGAGGTGAACGACGAAGGCACAGCCATTCGCCGGCGCAACCCGCCGCCAAAGTTCCACCCCGAGGCCATTTGCGCCGCAACGGTGGTCGTCACGTTTGTCAACCCGAGAAAGGTGGACCACGCACGTGCGCAGGAGATTATCACCGCCGCCCTCAACCCGTTTGGCCGCATTGTTCAGATCAGGAAGGTCGACACCTACGAAGACGTCCCAGGTGTGTTGCTGTGTGTGTGTGTGTGTGTGTGTGTGTGTGTGTGTGTGTGTGTGTGTGTGTGTGTGCACTTTTGTGTGTGTGCACTTTTGTGTGTGTGCACTTTTGTGTGTGTGCACTTTTGTGTGTGTGTGTGTGTGCACCTTGTTTTGTGCACATGCCCATTCCACTTGGATGCACAGCGCTGCAAGCACTCTTCCGCCCACCACCTCCCATCGCTCACCTCATTCCTCCTCCTCCTCCTCCTTCTTATTCCTCCTCCTTATTCCTCCTCCCCACCAACATTACCTTTGGATGCAGATGAGGTGACGCACTTCTATACGAAGATGCTGAACAGCGCCATTCCCGCCAACCTCCTCAACACCTCCCGCGGGCCACGGTACCTCGTGGAGTACGACTATGCCGACGAGGCCCTTGATGCCGCCACGGAGCAGGACGGCCGCGCCTCTGTCTTCCACCGCACCCTCGGCAACCTGCACATTGCCCTGCTGTACAAGCGCCGCAAGCAGCGTGGCGGCGACGCCTCGGGCAGCAACCGCTCCAGCGCCGTGCAGACCCCGATGAGCGCGTCCACGTCGCGCGCGCACACGCCCGTGATGTTCCAGCAGATGCCGCGCCAGGGCCACCAGCACCACCAGCCGCAGGGCAGCCGGCCACAGCGCGGGTGGGAGGCGCTTGCTGCAGCAGGAGGCGCCAACACGACGACCACAACCACCACAACGACACCGGGCACCGCCACGGCGAGGCGGAGCAAAGGCGGCTCACCAGGCCGCAGCAGCAGCGTGGGGCGGGCGCGCGCGTCGTCGCTGGACAACAAGACGGCCCGGGCCATGCAACAGCAGTACCTGTCGCACGTGGACTCGACGGTGCCGACGCCGCCATCGCAGAGCAGGGGTGGCCGGCAGATGAGCCGCACCCCGGACCCGGCGCAGATGCGGCGGCACCGCGCGCACACGGTGGACTCTGCCACGGGCCGCCGCAATGCCATGCAGAAGCGCTCCCCGCTCGGCAAGAGCATCACCAACCTCAACGAGAGTGGTGGCAGTGGCGGCAGCGGCAGCAACAGCTGGCGCAGCGGGGACCACACGGCTGCTCTGCTTGGAACCCCGCCATCCATGGGAGGCACGACGCAGACGGGCGGGAGTGGCCGGTCCAGCCCAGGGTCCTCGCCGCTCAAGTTCTCCCACTCACCGCTCGCCAAGGCCGGCAGTGCCGACAAGCTCGTGGCAGCACACTCCGCACCCCGTGCAGCAGGTACATCATTGGTGTTCCTGTGTGTGCGCGCATTTGCACGTGTGTGTGTGTGTGTGTGTGTGTGTGTGTGTGTGTGTGTGTGTGTGTGTGTGTGTGCTTGTGTTGAACTCCACTCAATTCCCGTGGTCGTCTTTCTTGCTTTCTTGCTTTCTTGCTGGCTTTGCTGGTTTTGCTGGTTTTGCTGGTTTTGCTGGTTTTGGTGTGCCTTGTTCGCCATCGCCCATGCACGTGCTCACCCACCCGCTTCTCCTGCTCCCGTGTATCTGTTGCACGCGACCCATGATCACAGAGTCCCCAAGCTGGCGCTCTCGCAGCCAGTCTGCGTCGCCGCTGCCCTCTGTCGGCTGGCGTGCGACGACAAGCAGCCCGCGGCCCGTGCCTGTCTCTGGCCGCACCACGCCCGCCATGGGCGCTATCAAGCGCCTCCCGCTCGGCCCAGACGGCAGCCGTGGCTTCAAGCTCAAGCGAAGTGAGTTGTGTGTGTGTGTGTGTGTGTGTGTGTGTACCTGTGTGTGTGTGTGTGTGTGTGTGTGTGTACCTGTGTGTGTGTACCTGTGTGTCTGTACCTGTGTGTCTGTACCTGTGTGTGTGTCTGTACCTGTGTGTCTGTACCTGTGTGTGTGTCTGTACCTGTGTGTGTGTCTGTACCTGTGTGTGTGTCTGTACCTGTGTTTGTGAACGCTCGTGCACACGCCCTGTTTTCTGGATTTGACCGACCATCTCCCCCCCCCCGCCTCTACCGTACCCTTCCAACTCACGCTGTCTCCCACCGTATCATACACACACTCTCTCTGTTCTTCCTTTCGTGTTCGCCAGCCCTCGTCAACTACTAAACGGGCCAGGGACCCACCCGTCGATTTCAAGTGCTTGTGCCAGCCAGCAATGGCGCCATGTCCCACGCCACCCCGCATACACACACACACACACACACACACACACACACACACACACACACACACACACACACACACACACACACACACACACACACACACACACACACACACACACACACACACACACACACACACACACACACATGTCGCCACTGACACGCTGCCACCCATGGTGGACTTGTCTTGTCTGTTGTTTCGCTGTGAACCCATTTCAAGACCCACTACAAACGTACATGTGACAAGCGTCGTTGCTTGTCACAGTCTCTCGCCCCTTACACCCCCTGCAGAGAGCGTGTGGGTTGTCGTAGATAACTGATCCGTCGAATCATCACCAGCATCATCGTGAGAGTAAACGAAAAGGCAAACTGCCACGAATATGCAACCAAGGAAGAGCGCGAGTGTGTGTGTGTGTGTGTGTGTGCCTACGTTTCCCCATCACCCTTCCCCAACCCCCGTTAACACAACCTCGTGTCGTTGTGACAAGTGAACCAGCGTTGCATCCAAAAGGGCGTTTTATTCATGACAGCAGGAAACAGACGAGAACACACCAACCAGCACGCACAACCAGTTTAGTCCCTGTTCTTGTTCTTGCCACCACGAAGCAGACCGGTACGGCGGGCAGCGACGAGACCAACCTGGAGGGACACGAAACGAAGGAGAAAACAAAAGGCAAAACGAAACGGGCCGCCATGCGTGAGCGTATCAGCAGTGAAACAAGGCAAGCAAAGCAATTGTTCTGGTGCCAAACACGTGCGAGACATTGGCAGCGTCACACGTATGCACGCGTATGCACACATACACATACACACGCCGGGCAATCGCAATCGCAATCGCAATCACCACCACGACCGCAGCCAGCACTGACAACCGACGACGAGAACGCACCTTGCGGCCAGGGGGAGTGGCGCGAGCCACAGTCGAGGGGTGGCCAATATGCTGATGGTTACCACCACCGTGGGGATGCTCAACTGGGTTCATGGCAACACCACGGACACGGGGCCAGCAGTTGCGCTTGGCAGAGTACTTGTACTTGGCGTTACCGGCCTTGAGGAGGGGCTTGTCGATACGACCACCACCGGCAACGAGGCCAATCATGGCACGGCATGTGGAGGGCATCGTCTTCTTGGTGCCAGAGGGCAGCTTGACACGGGTCTTGTTGGCGTCCGTGTTGTGGGCGATGATGGTGGCGTAGTTACCAGAGGCACGGGCGAGGTTGCCGCGGGAGCCGGGCTTCTGCTCGAGGTTGCAGATGATGGTACCCTCGGGCATCTCGCCAATGGGGAGGACGTTGCCGACGGTCAGCTTTGCCTTGCGGCCGCAGTAGATGAACTGGCCAGTGTGCATGCCCTCGGCGCAGATGAACAGCTCCTTGCGAAGCTTGAAGCGGTAAGGGTCACGGAACACAACCGTGGCAAGAGGGGCACCACGGCCAGGGTCATGGATGACTGGCAAGTGCAGACGGTGGGGGTGCGGGAGGCAGAGAAGAAGTGAGACTTTGTGCGCATGGGCTTGAAAGTGTGGCAACACGTAGTTGTGTCAACAAGGGGCGGGGAACATCGCTTTTGCAACTGTCCCTGATGTGGGCTTGTTTCTCACAAGCCGAATCACCTCATCCCGTTGTCACAGTCGCTCCCTCTCTCGCAGCCCCCTTCTGTTTGAATCGCTTCTTATCATCCCGCACACAAGGACACATGGGCATCAAACTCACTGTCCTTGACGAGGCCCTTGATGTAGCCCTGGCGCTCGGAGAAGTCGAGCGTGCGAAGCTTGGCAGCGCCCTTGCGGTGCTTCGTGTGTGCGCGGAAGACGGATCCGCGACCCTTACGCTGAACGCGAATAACGCGACCCATCTACACACACCCAAAGAAAAACAGGAGGGCACGGAAGCAAGAGGAGAGCAACGTGTGAGTGCATGTGTGAGTGACTGAGAGTGTGCGTGCCCGTTGGTGGTGCGCTGTGCAGTGTGCGCGTGACGGACGTGAACAGCACACCCACACGCCTGACACACTCGGCACACAGAATCACACGCAGCGGTGCTGTTGGTGTGAAGGGACGGTGTGGCTGGTGGAGTCACTTGCTGGCTGGTGTGTCTCATCTCCGCTGCTGGTGAAGCGTTTATCTCCGTTCGCGTGGGGACAGGCACTGGCGGCTTTTCACGTGCGCTGTGCGGGTGATGGCTGGCTGGGGCTGTGCTGGCTCACTCGCTGCTCACAGCTGTTGCGGTTCTCCCCATCAACACACGACGACCGCACGCACACACGCACACACGCACACACGCACACACGCACGCACACGAACACACATATAAACACACACGCATCCCCCGCTTCCTTCCCCCCCCCCCTTTTCCTCCACTCAACACACACACCCACACCACGGGCACACAGGCACACCCGCACGATGCCGCTTGGCGCATGCGCCGATATCCACTCACCCTGCTGGTGGTTGGTTTGGCTGCACGCGAGGTGGTGAGGAAAAAGGCACGGCGTGCTCTCTCTAATGTGAATCCAGTTGAAAATTGGCGAAAGATCGCTTTACATAGAGTGCACAAATTCGCTGACTCGACAAAAAATCACCCAGCCTCGCTGTCGCCGGACACAGGCCGAAGACAAAAGAGTTGTTGTTGTGCCACACGACCGCTGGTCTCTGCTGTATGTTTCCACGACTGCTGCGACTGTTGCGACTGCTGCGACTGCTGCGACTGCTGCTGTTGGTGCGATGAGGCTGTTGGGGTCGGTGCTGAAGCGCCCGCTGCCAGAGGGCGACCGGTGGCGTAGATATGTGATTGAGTTTGTGGACTCTCGTCGCGACTTTCGCCTGGCTGAGATCAAGGCCGTCGCAGAGGTGCTCAACGTCAACTGGGTCCTGCACGATGACAACTACGACGACGAGGTATGTGAGTGTGTGAGTGTGCGTGTGTGTGGATGTGTGTGAGTGTGCGTGTGTGTGTGTGTGTGCGTGCGTGTGGGTGTGTGTGTGTGTATGTGTGTGTGTGGATATGTGTGCATGTCTGAACGCATGTGTATGTTATGTGCGTGTAAATCATACGAGTGTGTGCGTGTGCGTGTAAATGCATACGAGTGTGTGTGTACATGAAGTCTATTCTGGTGTGCATGTGCATTTGCGAACGCATGTACTCTCGTTTGCCTTTTCCGCATGCCCCACATCTGATCATTGTTTGTCACTGCTCTGGTTTCCTCCTACTCCTGCTCCACTCTCCTTTTTCTTTGCATCACTTGCAGACACTGCATGTGGTGGCAGACTTTGATGGCCCGGAGAGTGTGATGGTGGATGTGGCGGAACGGTCCATGCTTGTGCGCTACATTGCCGTGCTCTGGGGCTGGGGAACAGACTGGACATCATGCATGCAACACATTAACCACGACGCCCTGGTAAATCGATCGACGCTTAGGGTGGTGAAAACCGCCACGCACATGCCCCTTGGGGGGAGGGGGCCAAGAGACGAGATCAGCAAGCCTTGCAGTGTGTCTGTGTGAGTGTGTACATGTGTGTGCATGTGTGTGTGTGTATGTCTGTGTCTGCGTGCGTGTGTACATGTGTCTGCGTGTGTGTGCTGTGTCTGTGTGTGTGTGTGTGTGTCTGTCTGTCTGTGTGTGCATGTGTCTGTGTGTGTGTGTGTGTGTGTGTGTGTGTGTGGCGCTCCGATCCCACGTGGATGTTCTGCCAAGCGTGGGCTGCTCACCGTGCACTATTTTTCCCATGACAGGCACCATACAGGAAAGGTACATTCAAGTGCGACTTTATGTCTCGCTGTCGTAGAATAACTTCCTCTCGTCGCAAGAAGATCTTTGAGGTGTGTGTGTGTGTGTGTGTGTGTGTGTGTGTGTGTGTGTGTGTGTGTGTGTGTGTGTGTGTGTGTGACATGTGGTGGTTGCGGTTGACATGGTTGCGGCTCCCCGTCAATGTTTGCCTCGCATCAATCAGCACACTTGGCATCGCTGCGAACCTGGCCCCTTGTTCTGTCCCTCCCCATGATCCCGCCCCCACCCACACACACACACACACACACACACACACACACACATACT